AGGTCATCCGCCCACTTCGCGCGCGGCGCACCCACTGAGGTCTCGAGACGGCGTTACAGTACCACCAAGTGTCAATGGAGCATACGATTTGCATCTCTCAGTACTACCTTCTCTTTAGGCCGGCTGCCGTGGACCAAGCGCAAATCCCTTTGACAACTGCGACATTCGTCAAGTATCGCGGGCTGACCTGCCGCATGCGACGGCTACGGCGTGAGCTAGTTTCGACGGACGCGCGCAACGAAGCGCATCCCCTCAAAAGTAGCAAAATAGAGGTTGTACGAGATTACCATGACGGAAATAACACGAAAGGGGTGTCTGGAAGCCAAAACTGTCCATTATTGCCTTTCACTGTTGCTATGGTCATGTCAAGTTGTTTGAATTTCCTACATGGGTCCCGTTGTGAGTGGTCAGCTCCTACAGTGCCGTTAAAACTCGTCCGCACATACACACGGGACAATCTTTGAGCCTTTATAACGCCCGATCTGGGCCGTTTTCCGATCTGACAGCGCCACATGTGATGTACGAGCGGTCCACAGATTTATCACAGCGGTATGTCTCATGAGCCATTTTTCCGTGAACTGTGCCTTTAATGTATTTTGTTAGCTTCTACGTGTTTTATATTTGTGTCTTGTGTTTTGGGCAAAACAAACAAATGAAAGAAGATAAACAAACAAATCAATAGCCACGAAGATGTGCATTCAAAATCTGCGGTTTTTAGTCGAAATAAATGCACGTTTACTCGCATAAATGATTACATAAAAACATGCATCATCATAACAACCACCGAGAACGAGAACGCCTCACACGTTTTCAATATAAATACCTGATCCATTACANTTCATTTTGATTGTTTATGTTTATGTTACAGTTTATGTTTTTGTTACATACAGCATCAATGTAATATTACAGAATGGAATGCTATGTTAGTAAGAAATAACAATGTGAATGGAGTGTGGCGAAGTGGCTGGGAACACGGTTCAGAAGGCAATGTTGGTATGGAATTTCAAGGAAGACGTCTGACGGATTCCTCACAGGTTGTCGCTTTCTACTTTTGAGTGTCGTACGTTACGAGCTACCACCGATGGACGATGCGGACCCAATCGCATATTGACGTGGTGGTTGTAACCCCACTGAAAACCATAGATTGCTATTTTTATAGTTTCTCGCTTACAAGTATGGAAAAATAGACACTTGTTCCAAAGCTGTCATAAGAATGTATTACAGTACCATCCAAAACTCTAGATTCCATGGAGTGCAACGCCTCCAGCTGGGTTCTTCGCTTCAGAATTCAACAAATATCCTATTTTGCATATTTACACTTTCAGCGCCGTTTTTATTTCATTATTATGCTTGCGGAAGAATTTTCAGACGTCTTCGAATTGTCCAACCAATCTTTTCTGATTTGTTGTTTGCAGAACTAGCACTAGCGTTGGTAGACATGGGGAGGGTGGGTCACTTTTTCATCAAGTTCCTGCTGTGTGTTTACGGGCCAACTTTGGAGCATGCAGCCCTTTTCCTGTCATTCTACTATGTAAGAGAAAGCTTTGAATCCTTCACTGTTTGGAGGACTGCCAGCATGTCTGCCCTCCCACACATTGGTGACGGGGTGGTTGTGATACCACTGATCCATTAAAGCAAACCAACAAGTAAATGAAGACGGAATCGGTCGATGTTGCGATGCCAATCTCTGTTGATGTGATTGTTATGATAGCATTCAAATCATAAAACACACCTTCAGTGCCTCTATTCCAATTCTATGAGCTGTTGAGTCGCAACTATGGAGTTGAGAAAGATTGGCATTCATTAAATAGGTGTTTGCTTGAAATAAGATTAAATAGACTACTCAGAATACCCTGGACATGGGAAAAGATTTATTGTCTTTCATGGTCAGGTTAGATCTGAAAATCAGCGCCCTATCGACCTGCCAGGCTGGCTGTTAGTGAATGGTTGCATTCATAGTACAGACGCCGAGGCGAGCGTCGACGTCGGCCGCTGATCGATATTCAGCAAGTCGATGCCTCATCCTATAGATTGGAATCCTTCTTAAGCGTTCAAAACGCTTGTTTAGCGACTTCTTTTGCGCATCAACTGATTAGGGATTACCATCATACATCGATTTCTGAAAAGTTCTCGTAGGTAAGCACTTGCGTTCTGAGCTAGCACCTGCGCAGGAGTCTATACTGTGAATGCTTCTAATACCATAACTGCAGTTCAACTTTGCGGGACCGCTACCAAAGATCGCCGCACGCTCGCGCGTGTTCGTAGGATTCCGCCATCCCGATGATGAGGTCCGGGGACTAGCTTGATTGATATTTGAGTGGACAACCTGAATAAAAGCTAAGCAGTTGTTCAGCTGATATAAAGGACTCCGAGGGGATCAGCTTTGAAAGAGTTTATTGGCCGGGATTTTACGGTTTTGTGCTACACGTGCGATAGTGAAACAACTTGGCACATTTTCAACTGAAGGATCAAGATTATCTACGACAATAAAGAAGAAATTCCACTACCACAAGCGTAAATGGTTTAGAATATACTCGAAACGTCGTTCTTATCAGAAATGGAGGGATCAGCCGTTATGCAGTTGGTCCCAGGCCTTACAATAGGATGGTATCCTGACCAATATCCTTTTGGCCTTTTGGCCAGATTATCCTTTCTAACAGCTCAAATTGCCTCAGTACTGAGTGGCATTTTGCCCAACTAGAGCTCCTCAATCTGAGAGCGGCGATGGTGTTGTCGCTCCGCTGATAAGCAAATGCTTTCGACAAGCATGCTTGAATTTCATTGTCCTGATTTCGGGGCAACAATCAGGAAAGTTGAACTTGATTGAACGAGCTAGGAACTATCTCCACAGCTTACTGGACCAGGTGATAACTCAAAAGCGTAAGCTCCGCGGGCAAAGGGTAATAGTCTGCCAAGATAGTCGTCTTCATGAAAAGTACTCGGGACGTAGCAGCGTGTGATTTACAAAAGGTGTCTGAAAAGGCAACCTGCACAATATGACAGTTGTGTTTTTGAAGGTAANAAACAGAAAAGTTGAACTTGATTGAACGAGCTGGGAACTATCTCCACAGCTTATTGGACCAGTTATAACTCAAAAGCATAAGCTCCGCGGGCAAAAGTAAAAGTCTGCCAAGATAGTGGTCCTCATGAAAAGTACTCGGGACGTAGCAGCGTGTGATTTACAAAAGGTGTCTGAAAAGGCAACCTGCACAATATGACAGTTGTGTTTTTGAAGGTAACCTATTCTATGTTTCGGATCGCAAGTAGTCAGAAAACTTGGAAAAATTGGCGGTTTAAGCAGTGAACTTCACTTGTGCCATCAAGATTGGTGCAATAAATCCTCTCAGAATGACCTGTCATATATTTTCCGGAGTGGATCCAGAGTTCAACCATTTTTAGTTCCCATCATGAATTAGAAAAGCGGAATGAAACGATCAATCCATAGTAAACAAAGAAGATATGTAGAGGCGTTTTAAACAGATTACTATGCTCACCTCTTCCAAAACTGTGATGTCGTCATGTTTCTGAATACAGCACCAGTTGATACAAGTAACTGAGACAATGAATAGAACAGAGAAGAAGATCACCCAAACAACCAAAGCTCCAAAATAATCGATTACATCAAGCTGTTGTTTTATGTCAACAGACATTCTGAACTGTTCCTGAAATGCTGGCAGAAATCAGTTGAGATCGAAAGGCATCCGGGTAAGAACGGCGGTCATAGAAGAACAAAATATTCAAATAAGGCGAGAAACATGAAAAGGGGTTAGGAACAGAAGGTTCTAAGAGAGGGGTTGAAATGAACAAATGGTGTTTATAACTATGGGTTGAAAAGGTCCCTTATTCTGATGTGCCACTAATGCTCTCGGCACGGGTACACATAGTTGCTTTTATTCTAAATTGTCAGGGAAGTCGTGGCGTATCTCCTGCTCCGGGTGGCCACTATGTTTTCTTTTTCCCGACAATTTATCCAGCGTTATTGTTGTTTCATTAGACAACCTACAGCCGTAATCGAACAAGACAATGAGCAATTCGGAATTGCTTTTATGCCGATTTTACAGCAAAGTCGAGATAAAATGCCAATTGAGGCATTTCCATCAACATAGCCGCTCATTTCACACTTGACTTCCTTCGGCGAAAAAGATCTAGCAAAAATCTTGTGAAGTTTAATTGAATTGGCTTGAGGAAGTCAGTATACAGGCGGTCGACTACTTAGTCCGCTGGTGATTTGACCGTAACCATAACAGTCGGATGGAAAAGCAAGCAAAGTTCGTTGGAGGTATTAAAAAAAAGAAAATGCATAGAGATGAAGTTGAAGCCACAAGAAAGAGATTGCAAAAACATGGAAGATAGATTACCCAGTGGTTAGTGATCAAAAGAAAAAGCTGGGATACCTATGCATGTATGGGTGTCATTCAAAGTCAGAGGTTCACAGTTGACGGCACAGGTGAATGTCTACGGAAAACGATAAAGGTAAGGGTAAAGTTTCTGGCATGAAAAATCCCACTTTATGGTGAGCCCAGTGCATTCGACTTCTATTCAGAAACATGCTGTCGCTTGAATGAGGATATGCCATACACAACAACCAACCACTAAAGAGGGCAGTACTTTCATTCTCCTTCATTGCTCAGTAATCATTTAAGCCAGATGTTCCACTTGACCAAACGAGTACCCGTGAAGTTTATTTCACACAATATGGTAGTGCCACTGTTCTTCCTGCTTTGATGTACGCCTCAGAGACTTGGACTCTACGAAAACAGGATGAGCATGCTGTCAGCGTTACTCAACGCGCTTTGGAAAGGACGATGCTCGGAATTTCCCTGTACACGCAAGTGCAGAAGGGAATCCGGAGTTCCGAGCTCCGTCAACGAACGAAGATCAGTGATGCCGTTGATTACGCCAAGAAATCGAAGATCAGGTGGGCCGGACACTTTATGCGATATAGTGATGACCGTTGCACCAGGGTGCTTTCTGATGGGATCCTCGGAACATCAAATGAACTCCAGGACGGCCGTCAACGAGATGGTCAGACTTCTTCACGAAAGCTCCGAACGAAAGGAATGGTGTTCCTCGTGTCCCTGAAGCAAGGACGATTCGCTGGACCACTCTGGCTCGTGACAGGGACGAATGGAGACGTTACTGGCGTACGCTCGAGGAAATCGACGATTAACGGGACGAAAGGTGTTACAGGTGAATATGGTAGTCCCACTTGATGGGCGCGCCATAGAATAGATAGCCAAAAAATTTCGGTCGGAGCAGAAGACAAATAGCGAGTTTCAATAAAGCAGCTTCCAAATTTCGGCACTCAAATATTGGGAACGCAAGCAGTTCCAACTTGGAAAAGACCTCTTCACGAGACAAATGATTACTGAAAATGAGGTTTAGGATGTCTACAGCAATGTTTTTCACAGACACTTCCGACTCCAATTCGATGATTCGTTCCCGAAAGTTCAGGGACATTTCGAATGAGGTTCATTAGAGAAAAATAGTGTTCCCTTAAGGCTAGAATAGGAAGAGCATTACTTTTTTACCAGCAGAGACTGGATAATTAACAGCTATGATTAAGTCCAGCCTGTTATTGGACAGATTGAATGATGCCATCACCTCGAATGTCTAGAGCTCGGCATCAGTAAAGAAGTGTAGTTTTCTCACGACAATGCCAGGCTACTGATCACAATGAATTGTAAAACTTCCAAGAATATTACAAAGATTTCAAATGTAAAGAATTTGATTTTAGCAGACAGACAATTGCACCTCACTACATTTACATGAAAAATTATAGGCAAAAAGCCTAAAAATAATTGTGGAAATTACTAAATTGAATGTTCTACACACCCGAAGTTCTTTTGGCCTTGTGCCAATTTTTGGAATTTTTTCAATTATTTGATCCCTCAAGCCTAGACGGATATCAAGCTCGGATTCATACCCAGCCTGAACCAGCCGAACGTTCCATCCGGGATCGAGTAATTGTTACGAGACTCATCTGGGAGGATCAAAGCACTAGAGTGGATATCGGCTTGCCACCGCGAGCCACTGTATTGGCCGCCACACAGTCAGTGCACACTACGATTCTGAATGGAAGTCGAATGCGTGGGCGCATCCTTCAAACGGGATTGTTTAATGCGCAAACACTTTATCTTTTACCCTTTATCAGATCTGTTGAGAAAACTGGCAGGATATAAGACTTGGTATAGATCATTTCGTGTACATACCAGCACACTGTTCAATCTTTGCCATTAAAAACAGATTCCTTGAGTGTCCGGAATTGTGACATCATCTGGGAGAAGGAAGGATGTATTACAAACTGAACTACACTGTTTACATACATACATAAGTTTACATAAATAACTTTTGTACGGCAGAGAAAAATCTAGCTCTCAGATTATGAACAGCCCAACATTTTGGTCAAACCTCTCGCCCTTGCTATAGGAGCTAATCCGAAAGTTCAACTTCGGATTCCAATGCTACGCTATACAGCTTTGTCGTTTTCATTAGCCTTCCATCTAACTTAAAAAATTAAAAATCGAAAAAGGCGTCCAGAAAGTTACAGGTACTGGGTGAACTCAAAATTTAACGTTTTAAAATTTCGGTGCTTTCGGCGTAGGTGAAGAAGTAACGTGATGTGTGACGGTGTTATCACTTGTCTCTCGAGGTCGATTCCTCTGCCCTTGTTGTTATTTTGATGAGAGTGGTTGAACCCGTCGTAAACATCCGTGCGGACGGCAGTTGTTGTTCGATCGCCATACATCACTCTCATTGTCGAAACCTCTCCGACGGGTACAAACATCCAGGATTCTGAAGTCTACGACTAGGAAGCTGGTTTGATACCGTTTGATACTCCATTCATATCTTATTTGATACTCTTTTGCCTCTTTCCTCGTTATTATTGAAGAGCAACTAACACAAAACTTGTTCGAATCCAGGCAATCCAGTTAATGTAAGATCCACTTTCATCCCCACGTAATCATTATCAAACGGATGGCTTTCAAATGCGAAGCTTTGGAACCATTCAGTAGTAAACCATCGGTCGGTCCATTTTCTTTTTCATTCATCACAGAAGCGTTGTTATGAAGTTGAGAAGAATTTCCATGCGAAAATAAGTAGAAAAACAGAAATTTCGAGTACTCGTAGGGAGTTCGTTCAAATCACAATGATGATTTGCTCGAGGTGGGTTTCCGCCTTCGAGGACCAGACAGTCAGTAGACAGGGATAACCTAGTGGTGAGGAGTGTAGGCTAGGTCTGCAATCAGAAAGACCAGGAGTTGGCACCTGTCGAGGCAGAAGCCATGCCTAGCAAAAACTGTAAAAAATGGTGTCAGTACCCGCGTCAAGACCAGGATGATAGCGACGCTGCATTCGACTTTCATGCAGAGTCGTGGTGGCGTAATGACACATGCGGCCAATACAATGACTTCAGTGGGCAGCCCATGTACAAGTTAACGCTTTTATCCTCCCAGACAGGCGGAGGTGGTGTAGTGGCAAGTGGCGCACTGTCTCATATGTACGATCAGGGGGTCGATTCCCGAAATCGTTGCCCACCTAGGCCAACCAAGTCTTCCATCCCTCCGAGGTCGATGAATTGGTACCAGACTTGGCTGGGCGGATAGAAACACTGACTTGTACATCGGCTGGCCACCGCAAGTCATTGTATAGGCCACATACGCACTCATTACGCCACTACGAATCTGAATGGAAGTCGAGTGCGGGGGCGCATCCCACAGACGGGATTGATTAACGCCAAAAACTTTATCCTTATTATCTTCCCAGACGAGTCTGATTCCAACTAACCCCCACCTAGCCTAACAAAGCGAGATGGAAGGCTTGCTTAGGCTAGGCGGATGTCGATCCGGAATTCGAGTCCGTGGCAATCGTGTGTGATAATGCACCCCTCTAACGATAGTGGGTAGAAGTTCCCGTCGCTTTAGCGAGGGACTACCAGGAACGGAAATTTTGCGATCACAAAACAATAGCTGCATCCTCAACTCGAAAAGGATTCAGCCGAATTAGCCAAAAACGCCATAGCCATGCGAAAGAGTAAAAGCGAAGGAGTACTGGTAAGTGGAGTGAGAATCTAGAACGTTTGATTGCCGTTGAACACCTACATCAAAGCCTCATTTGCTTGTTGCAATGTTTGGTAAGTTGACCTTTTACTTCCGACCTTCGTACAGAGAAATCTTATCACCGCTTCGAGAGGGGAGCAAGATCGGAAGACAACGATCAAAGAATCGGAGCAGAATAGCTTAGTAAACAACTGGAAAATGGAGGAAAAGAGCAGCATCGTGAACAAATCAAAGTGATCATGGGGACTACAGGTGAATTTGCAAAAAAAAAATCCATGTAGATGTAAAAAATGAACAGCATGACTACGCGGCATAAGTCCTACATTGAAATTTCAGCTCTTAAGAAGTCCATTCCCAATAAAGGGAATAAATAGAAATTTTGGGTAAATTCTATAACAATTGAGTTAGTCAGCGCTTTCCTAACTCACGTATCGAATTCTGAGCAGAAATAAGTGGTGTGGAGCTTGGGTGCAAAAACAAAAACACTTGAACAGCGTCCTGCTGGTCAGGTCATTCAGGCGAGAACATCAGCTATTTCAAAGTGCAAAGGTATGCTCGATTAAAAATAGGTCTCAGAGATTAAATGAGGT